GAGCGTGCTCTGCTGTACTGAGCTTGCTCGGCTTTGAATCAGGCTGAATATTTGTTTGGAAATGTGGAGTTGAGGGTAAGCAATCTGAAGAGGAGGGAAGCAGTGTCTATTGAAAAATCTACATGATGACACAAACAATTATGAGGAGAATTCATAACAGGGCCAAGATGGCTCCTTATGACCTATTTTGGATGTTTCTCCTGGCAAAGCAGGAACAGAGGAGAGAGAGTGAAAGAGAAAGAGAGATGACTGAAGTCTATTGGGGCTGAAAGCAAAATATGAAGAGACTATTACTGCTGCTCAGGTCTTTCAGCACCTCTAGTGATAGCAGGGCAGGAAAAAAACAGGCAGAAAAAAAAATGAGAGATCAAAAAGAGGGAAGGTTCTGGTTAAACATTTGAGAGAAATAATGGAGGCAAAAGGAGAACAAGAAGTGGAGAAAGTGATACAGAGAGAGATGAAGAAAAGGAGTAAGAGGGCGTGTGGGACCAGTGTTGTATTTCATCTCTGTGTAGTGGACGTCTTAATCAACAGTGTCAGGTTTTCTTTTTGGAGACTGCATGGTGTTTTTCACGCTGACAGCGGAGGCTACACGCGAGTGGCAAACAGGACAGAGAGGAGGCTCATAAGCAGCCCCAGCTTTGCATAAAAATATGCCAAATGCAATATCATTGTTTCATGCGCTTATTTGTTGAACTGTGCAAGAGGAGGAAAATAAAGTTTGACTGTAGAGGCAGAAGATTCGTGCTGGCTTGCAAAGCGACAAATTGCACATCTGAATTTACAGTTTAACAGCAAAATGCATCTAAATGCAGACGTGGAACCAAAGTGGGGGGAAAAAAGTTTAAATGAACCCTTTTGTTTTATAGTAAAAACAAAATTTGCTTTTCAGTTCACAGGGGACTTTCTTTAATTAAAGGAAAAGTTGCACACAAAAACAACCTTTCCCCCTTTTTCCTTCTCTTGTCTTTGAACAATTTTAATAGTTTGTTTATGTTTGACACAAGAAGGCCTGAAAATGGATTTAAGAAGGAAAACAGATGCACAATTTATCACACTTGTGGGTAAAAACCCCTCCACTGTGCTGTGGTTTTTCACTTTTCACTTAAATAGTGTATCTTATATCCATTTCTTACTGTTTGTTTAGTGTAAAACTAAGATGCTTTATGGATGCAGAGATATAACACATGATAATGCATGACATGCAACTGCAGCCAAATAACAAATCCCCTGCATGGAATCGGTCCGATATTATAATCCCAGCAGCTCTGCTTCCTATTGCCAATAACTTGCTGTATTATAGAGGTAAACATCCCCACTGAACAGAATATCTCAGTACTTCGAGACTAGTGAGATTATCAGCCAGATGTATGTTAGTTCAATTTCAGATCCTATAAGAACACAAAAGTACATCAATGACACATTCAGTAAATGTCTACTAGAAATGAATTATGTATATGTATATATATGTATATGTGTGTGTATATGTATGTATATATATGTGTATATATATGTATATATATACACATATATATATATATATATATATATATATATATATATATATATATATATATATATGTATATGTATGTATATATATGTAGTTTTTTAATGTAAATTTGCACCGTCCTATTTACTTTTGTGCAATTTTTTGCACATGCTTTTATTTTTCTGCTTTAAAGCATTTTATTTTGACATGAAGGCTCTTTTTGTATTATGTGTCCATAATAGAATAAAAAGCAAAAATAAAATAAGTACAGTTCTTCAGGATGATGCACGCAAGTATAAAAGTCAGCGTGGTCATGATGAAGAATGGCTCCCCTAAGAGTGTCAAATAAATGAGCAGCAAATTTCAGCGCTGTAGCTGCTCCAGGTGCTGTGAGCCCTTTCGGTATTTTAAAATGCAACAATCACAAATTTATATTGTGCAAAATCAACCATAACCCCTTTTCCTCAATAAAAAAAAATACAGTGGACTTCAAAGTATCTGTGTGGCTATATACTCAAAAAATAATTCAGTCGAAAGAATAAAAGTGTATTGCAGGAGTGTGAATGGTAACAACGGGAAAAAACGCAGAGCATTGTGCGCATTCATATGAACCTTTCCGTGCAGACTTCAGTGCATTCGTGTGAAGTAAGGAACATAAAGTTGTGACTGATGATTATTTATTGTAACGCAGGTTGGTCGGTGAAATATGCTGCAAACTTCTTAGCTGTAAACAGTGAGCAGGCCAGGAGAGCTTTTATGGAATACTTGTACCCGTGCTGCAGGAGGGTGACACCTCCTGATTTATGGCTGTATTTAGATAAGACGCCGCCGTAAATGGTTTCTAAATAGCGTCAAGGTCATGTAATGTAATGGGATAATGTTTTTAGGCGATGGCGATAAGATGATGTGTTTGGTGGGCGAGGAGCTGCGCGAGGAAGAGGGAAAAAAATGATAAAGCCAGTGCAGGCCTTCTCCTTCAGGTATGACGCGGACAGGCCGCTGATTCTGTGCGCTAAAAGTAGCACAAACAAATCCTCAAACGGGTCATTTACACTTCTCATTACTCTCTGACATTCACGCCATGTTATTACTGGAAAATAAGACGTGGATAAAAATCTGGTCAGGCCTTTTCACTCTGATAAAATTGTTCTAAAATTTGACATAAGAAAATGGCCATTACGCCTTAAAGAAAATATTTTAAAAACCCTTAGATAATCTTTAAAGAAGGACCGAAAAAGAAAAATAATTTCATGTTTTTAAAGCAACTAAATTGATGCGTGAGCACACCAGGGTAAAAACGGATAAAATGATGTCAATTTTACATTTTAGGCATAGTTCTACCTTTTTTATTCGCCCATTCTTTTAAATGTTTAGCTGAACAAAAAGATAAAGTCTGCTTTATTCGGATTATTTGGATTATCATTAAAAACAGTCGAATTTCTGAGTTGGCAAATCTTATTTATTTTTATTTTTGAAATTTATACGCACGTCTTTAAAAATTTATTTTTATGTATTTTTTAATTTAAATCTCTGACTCCATGTATTCCAACCTGCAGTTGTTAATTCAAATATAAATGTAGATAATACAGTGCTGCTGCAAATCAGTGGCAGAAATGATTAAGCGTGTATGCCTTAAGAGATGTCAGTGCGTAAAGTTCGTGCGTAAACGCTTTCCAAAAGTAAAACAAGACTTTGAATCCTACAAAGATTTACAGATTTACAAAGTACTTTCTGCTGCAACATTTTCGGATAGCCGATAGTTGCTCCTTGTGCAGGGTCTTGAAATTATGGTGCATGTTTTCAGAAGCCTATCCAGACTCTCCTCCCATCCTGGGCGCTGCCCTCCATTGGCTGACTCCTTTTCACGCAGATATCCAAGTCATATAAACCTGGGGCCTCACACCTTCACCAGGGTCAAATTTCTTGGTCAAGTCAGAGCTGCCTCGTTTGGAAACGATTTCAAGAAGGAAACGCAAGTGGAGCCCTGCTCATCGCCGAGATTTCTTCTGTGGAATTTAAAACGTTTTTCTCGGCCTGGGCTGAAGCCGAGTTCAGAATGAATACGATGTGAAGGCGGTGGTTGTTTTTGTTTGACTTGTTAATAAATCCAGAGGAAGACGTATTTAAATCTTGAATGATTTCTTTTGGCTGCGGATCCCCGAGCAAAGATCGTTTTGGGGCGGCAGCAGAGAGAGGCCGAAGGGAAACACGGCAACGACCATATTTGCAATCCCGCTCAGCATGAACCTCATCGGGGGCTACCAGCATCACCACCACCTGATGCACGAACCCTTCCCTTTCGTCCAGCGGTGTCACCAGGATGCACCGTACTTCCAGAGCTGGGTGGTGAACCACGGCGAAGTGCCCCCTGATTTCCAGATTCAGGCGCCCTACCCAGCCGCGGAGCTGGGAGCGCCCGGAACGACGCACGATGCCCGGCTGGAAGGGCTCCAGGCCGGGATGGGAAAGAGGAGAGCGTCGGGGCCGAAGAAGGAGCGCCGGAGGACGGAAAGCATCAACACAGCTTTCGCCGAACTCAGGGAGTGCATCCCCAACGTGCCGGCGGACACAAAACTGTCAAAAATCAAAACTTTACGCCTGGCGACCAGTTACATCGCTTATCTGATGGACGTCCTGGCCAAAGACTCCGGGGAGACGGAGGGCTTTAAGGCCGAAATTAAGAAATTTGAAAACCGGGATTTGAAACGAAAACGGGAGCTGGTAAGTTACGAGTGTCGAAGTGAAGTGCCGAATCAAAGTAACCCCAACCCAAAGCATTTTTCTGGGATTCGGTAACATGTTAGTCAGTGTAAAAGCAGCTGTAGGCCTGAAAATGATGAACGCTGAACGAAACAATTCAGCATGACCTTTCGGATTGAAGTACCGTCAATGTTTAACCTCCAACTAAAGCCTTTATATCGCTTTATAATTATATCATTTTATTTCATCTCATTTTTCCTTCAAATAATTCCCAGTTATGAGTCCCAGTTGAAAATCGGCCAAATTATATTTTAAACCAACCTAACAAACAATTAAAAAACAAACAAAAAAAACATCTAACAGTTTGTTAATAGTATAGTGAATGCATAATGTTTGCTAACAGTTTCTAATTGTAGATTTAGACTCAGATATTTAGGCTTGAATATGTGCACGCCTAAAATATTTTTATGAATAACAAGCAACAGTTATTATTATTTGTTATTAATTATGTAGCTCCTAATCATAGCCGACGAAAAGTAAATGTCCTTTCCTTATTAGATATACAATAAAATGTTGTTTTAGACAAATGATAAAGTCTTTATCGTTTCTATGAATTTAAAAGATTACTAGTCAATATTGGGGTACGTGACAGGCAATGCCTGATGCTCCGACCCAGGAGCTGACTTACGGTCAATTAGTGAAATCATGTGATGTCATCGCCCTGAATGCGTCACTAAAACCTCCAGTTTTCTTCAGATTACACGAGGACAAACTTATAAAGCACATCTATAAACAGAGTGCATCACACGAGACAAAGATTGGAATACAGAAAAATATGATGTGCGAAATAGCGCAAAAAGCTCAAATAAAATAAAAGCAAAGTGACCCTCAGCTCTCTGTCCTGCTGATTATGTTGTGGTGTTTTGGTCTCCATCCTCATTCTCATCCTCCTCCCCCTCCTCCCACAGACCGACGGCCTGCCGGAGTCCTTAGGAGCCGAGAAGAAGGTGAAAGGCCGGACTGGGTGGCCGCAGCAGGTCTGGGCTCTGGAGCTGAACCAGTGACCTCCACTTCTCCACCCGAAAAAAACTCCTCAGAGACTCTGGATTCAAGTCAGATTTAAAATAAAACAAACCACTGAGTGAACCTAAGCACGTCGCTGTGGCCGTGCGGCGATGCGCAAAAACAGAGCGAACTAAAGGACAACACGGGCATAAAAGGTGGAGGGACGGTGGAGAGCTCCAGGACAGACGTCTTCTTCTCTCGTGCCGTGGTTTCTAAGCCGATTCACAGATCCGATTGTAGGTGTTTGATATTTGTGGTATTTCTGCTTTGTTGATGTTTTCCACCCCTGCGGACCAGATGTCGCGATGGAAGGTGTCAAAAACACATCTGTCTCCCCTTAAATATGTGTTTACCTGACGTTGTCTTCCCAGTTAAAGGAAATGAAGCAAAAAAATAAATAAATTATAAGAAGGTGGAAGAAATCTTCAGTATGAAGCCATTTAAATTTAGATATGTTTAAGGTGAATTTTGAGCTGCACAAGAATCTTTTTTTTTTATCTCGTTTCTGGCGTGATTTACATTTTTTTTTCAGATCAGAGACACCGGTTTATTTCTCAGTGTTAATAATTTATAGAGTTTTGTTAAACCAGGAAGCAGTTATAACTTTCAGTTTTGTGCGTGTTGGCGTATTTTTTTCTTCCTTTTTTCTTTAAAAAATATGAATATTTCATTTCTTACCCTAAACTTACTGTACTTAATTTACTTAATGCTGACACAAAAACGTGTACAAAATAGGACTAGAGAATAATTTACATGTCAAAAATAAAATTAAAATGTTAACTTTTAAATCATGGATCGAGTAAGTACTAAAAAAAAAAATCGGACGATTTTTATAGATGTCTGGCGTCTAAAGATACAATCAAATAAACGGAAGCCGGAAGAAACACATCATGAAAGGGGGGACACGTTTTTGTTTATCACTGTTCCATCCCGCTGTATTATTTCATTTTCAGGTATTTTCGTCCACAGTAGGTTTTCCCAGCTCAATTATCTCCCAACAGACCCTCTGTGTGTGTGTGTGTGTGTGTGTGTGAACTCTCCGGGCTGTTGTTTCGCGTAGGAATCGTATTGAATTTACTGAATCTACCTCAAATACTCTACACGATGTCACTGTCCGCTGGGAGAAGACACCGACTGTTCAGTTAACGCAACTTTATTCACTCCGTCATGTAAAACTTAAAAAACAAAACAAAATCAAAAGACCCAATAGGATAAAAGTTTATTAATGTGCGCAGTGGTGATGGAAATGTGCATTAGATGTGAAATTATATATATATATAGTTCCGTAAATAAATGATTATTTTAAGACACTAGCTGTGTTTGGTGAAAGTGTTTTTTCCCCCATCATGTTTAAAATTATTATCATTATTATTATTGTTGTTGTTACGTTATTTTTTTTTTCAGCCATACGCATTGCTTGGTCCCAAGTAAGAAAAAAAACAAAAAAAACCAACGAAAAACAAAAAAAAAACCCTAAATCTTGATATGGACAATAAAGATTTTTTTTCGAACAGCAGGAATTTTTTTTATACATTTATTTAAAATTTTATATTTCTAATTCCTTTTTTTTAAAAAATCTTTTTTGTTTCCTAACTAAGTTTGTTTCACCAACACAAGTTATATGTAGGCCCACATCTAAATTATCCATTTGTTAATAGTTTTCTGGTAAGTTTTAAATCTACATATAATTTGAAATAACATAAAAAGCCCTATCGTGTTAACCGGATGCTGTTCAACAAATTCATTACTTCGAAAATATAACGCTGTCCTTATCCTTTAAATAATTTCCACAGGTTGGCAGTCTGCTGTTCTCCACAGTTTCCTTCATATTATTTATTTATCATTCTTTTGCAAAAAGCTAAATAAAAGAACAGCGTGAAGTAAGTGTTGTTTCCAAATGTAAGAAAAACAAAATCAATGGACCGCTGTCGCGCTACAGTAGCAACAGTGACGCCTTGTGGTCGATGGGCGTCATTGTAAAAACACAGCATGAGGAAACTGCAACTTTTAACCAAGTAAAAGAAAACTTTTTCTTCATCTTTAAATATAGTGTGGAGGAAAACATGTAGGACAAAGTCAAGGCCTCTGAATCTCCAGTGTATTTCGTTTAAAAAATATAAAATAAAAATACAGTGCCAATCTGTTAGAAAGCATTAAATGAAGAGCTCCAATACAGTTTAAACATCATAGTCCTAATAAACTTAAAATACTTTGATGCTAAAGTACGATAAGAACTTATCATATAGGATCATACATTAAACCACTGAAGCATAATGTGTATATAACTTTATTTAAAAATATTATCTCCAGCTGTCCAGCGATGCATTACTTACACGTTCTGCTTCGTCTTTAG